TAACACACATTTATATAAAACACACACACCATCAGACACGTCAACGAGCACTGATCTATACACATTAATATATAACACACATTTATATATAACACATTTATATAAAACACACACCATCAGACACATGTCAGCGAGCACTGATCTACACACACAAACATACACACGTGTTTACTGCACTATTCTTTGATGATGACGACGATGAGGATGATGATGAAGGTGTCTGTTGCAGGTTTTATTGTCACAATGTCGTGTTGGTAGGATGTTTGTCATAGCAACTTGAATCTCAGGGTCATAGGTCAGAGGGGCTGTAGAGAATGCCATAGGCATGCTGAGAAAAGATGATGATCATGATGATGATGATGATGATGTTGATAATGAAAAAGATGAAAGTGATGACGATGTCATAAATGTCTTCCAGTCGCTGCTACAGTAAGCCTGTTAGCTCTGCTAGCTGCTCTAAATACAGACGGAGCTTTTTAAAAGAAAAAAACTTTATTGCTGTATCGTACATTTGAATCAAATTTTATTGCGAATCAGCTGTAACTTTATAAACTGATGTTTGTTTGGAGAATTTAAATGAAACCAGCTTGATTGAAACCAGCAAAGTGAACACTGTGGTCACCCTGAGAGCAATACAACCTCCAATAACTGATCAGTACTTATTATTATATTATGACAATCAGGAGTTCTGACCAATTGGAAGGCAGAGCTGACCAGCTGTGAGGCGGAGACAATGTACTGAGATCAGACCAGAGTGACCAATCATGTTTCTGGTTAAGTTAAAATCAAACAGGATCAAACTGTGATGATAAAACTAATTTCAGAAATATCTGCAGTTTGTACCAACAGGATCATATAACGTTTTTCTCATTGAAATGTTACTAATGTTTCTCTGACTTTTTTGTCAAAATTTTATGACATTTCTCAGGACTTGGTTTTATGTTTCCTTCTAAAATCACTGCTTGACATTTGAAATATTGCAGCTCTTTTCTCACAATATTATCATTGTATTTCTGAAGGTTTTACAACTTTTTCTCATAAAATTATGGCTCTAGTTTCAAAATAGTATTTTGACAGTGGTTCCCAAACTTTTCCAACTCAGGGCTCAGGCTGCAAAACATTTAAAAACATTAATTATATATTTTATTTACATCTTTTCACTAAAATTGTTCTGTTTTCCAGATGATTTTTTGTCCCACTTGCAATACCTTCGCGGCCCACCAGTGGTCCCCGGCCCACAGGTTGGGAACCATTGACCTAAGATGTTTATTATTTCAAAGTGTAAAGAACATGTTGATTTGTCTTTTGATCTTTTCAGCTGATTAATGGAAAGTTTCTGTCCACAGCTGATCACTAACGTCTTCAACTAAATCAGACGTGAATAATTTCTGATCTGAATTCAGTTTCAACTGATTTTTTGATTGAACTGACATATCATGGAGTTTTATCAGGGATCAAAGTCTTGAGACGACAATCTGAACCAATCAGCTGCTCATTAGCCGTTAGCTGGATCAGCTCTTTGTTAGCATCTTGTGCACAGCTTCTGATAAATCATGCAAGGCTAGTTAACACTACTAGCCTGTTAGCTGAGCTGGTGCACTCTAACCCATAGTAAGTTATTAGTTAACTCAGCTGTTGCACTGGAACAATAAATTGTGACTAGGTTGAGTTAGCATAGCATAGCATCGGTGGAAACTCCTCCCCTCTCTCATTGGCTACCAGCCTTCGGGGGCAGGGTTTCACTCAGACGGGTAAAGGGTGATGATGCCCATTTTTTAAATGTGAAGGTCTGTTTCTGTTCAGGTCAGAGGTCAGATTAGGCCTTGCCCCCACACCTGTCAGTAACCATGACAACGTGTGCAGTGGTCTAGTCCTGAGCCCCTGCTGCATGCCGATCCATTTATTGATTTATGACATCATCGACTGTGCTGGTTACCATAGTGATGAAGTGAGCAGAGAACAAGATGTGTTTGTTTCTATGTGATTAATATTATTGATTGTTTTGTAAACTGATGTATTGATGATTGATTAATGTAACTGATGTGATCAGTTTTTTAATGTTGAGTATTGATTTGTGATAACTATTGATCCCGTTTGATTCTAAGAGACTTTTTATCAGTTTTTTCTCTCAACTTTTTGTCTTTATGATGATTTTTTTCTAAAAATGTTACGAGGATGAACTGCAGAGCGACGCCCACGGACAGCTGCTTCAGCCAATCAGAAGGCCCATAGAGCCTCCAAGCCCATATATGGTTATAAAGCTTTGTTCTGACTTTTTAAACTGAACTTTACAACATGTCACCTGGTGGCAGGGCCTGATGTGTGACATCACACTTCAGGATCCAGGTGTGAAGCACTTATTAATGTCCGACTGCCAGTGTTTTCATGGTGTTATCCTTTTATTTCAAAATAAAAGCTCAACAGGTGTGCCGTGTTTTGTTGTTGAAGCCACAGTCAGGACTCACCTGCGACAGGTACGTACTTACAGGTAGTTTCTGTTTGGACTCATTTTAAACAGAAGCATCTTCACCTCTCTTCACACATCAGGAGCTGTGTCATTCACTTATCTGTAAAACTGAAAAACCAAGGCCTTTATATATGAAGAGTTTAAATTAGCGCCCCCTGGTGGACCAAAAAAGCCACAACATATGTATGAATACGAGAATGGAAGTGGCAATGTAGTGATGGTGGAAGTTAACTGAGGACAAAACTGAAATCCTACTGGTTGGCCCCAAAACTATAAGAGAAATGCTGTTAAATCTTAGGTTACAAGTCTTGGCATTATCTTGGAGGTGCCAGAAGGTCCCAGAAGGTGACAAAAACTATTTTTCAACCTTAGAAACAGCTGAAGTACAGCCATTTATAAACCAAACAGATGCTAAAAGTTTGATCCATGCCTTCATTTCAAGCCGACTTGATTAATGCAATGTACTCTTTACTGGGCTCCTGAAAAAAAACACTGAGACTGCAGCTTATTCAAAACTCTGCAGCTCAGCTATTAACCAGAACCAAGAGTACCAGGAGCACATCAGTCCAGTTTTGACTGCTCTGCACTGGCTTCCTGTTACATTTAGAATTGATTTCAAGGTCCTCCTCCTCACATACAAACACCTGAATGAGCAAGGACCAAGCTACATCGCTAACTCCCTGATAAACTATGTACCTCCGAGAACACTGAGGTCATCCACTGCTGCTTTACTGAAGGTTCCCAGCAACAGCCGGAAGAAAATTCTCAGCGGCAGCCTTTTTCAGTTATGGCCCAAAGCTGTGGAACACACCACCTATAGATATGAGAGAGGCCAGCTCACCAAGTACTTTTAAAAGAAAGCTTAAAACATATTTCTTCACTTTAGACTTTAACCAGCTCTGAACGCTTGAACTTTGTGCCACATTTCTGCACTGCTCAGCACTTCTTTTAAATGTCTTCTTATTTAATGATTTATTTTATTCATTATTTTATCTCATTTTACATTAATGTTTTAAATGTTTTTCATTTTAGATCAATGCTTTTAACAATGTTTTATGTTCATTTTACGTCTCTTCTTTTCATGTGAAGCACTTGGTGCAGTTCATTCTTTTGTTGTAAAGCACTTAGTGCTACATTTCTGTATGAAAGGTGCTATACAAATAAAGTTTACCATTATTGTTATTTGTTTACCATTGGGTTTATTGTAATTATTCAGTCCTGTGAAAACCTTAAAGACTGTACACTGCTTTCCAAACATTCCCTCAATCCACAACATGAACGTTAAATTTACCTTTGACCTGCCTGAGGTTCATCATCACTCTGATTCTTAATCAGCTCTGCTGTGTTTCACAGTCATGTGAACAGACTGGAGATCAGTTTTATTTCCAGTTTCCTCCTTCTGCTTCCCACCAAACCAGTCTGACCACACACTGCCTTCAGGTTTCTCTGTAAAGTCAAGAACACTCAGCTCTTAGAGGACAAATCAGTGACTGTGACAGTAAACACTAGACACAGCTTGCAGTTTCCCTGCAGCGCCTGAACTTCAGGATCAGCAGCCATCAGAAATACCAGCTGCTGATGAGTCATCAGTCATCAGGGCAACACTGTACCACAACACAGTGACAACACTGTAACATCACTATAACAGCACTATATGTCTCTTTAACTGTCACGTTTCAGTTCAGACAGTTCTTAGGCTTCAGAGAGGGAGCAACAATAAAACAGACACAAAAAATAAAAATAAAAACAGACATAATGAAAAAAATTAAAACAAATAGAAATAGAAAAATAAAATAAAAAAACAGAGAGGAGAAGATTAGAAACAGGATGAGCACCCAGATCTACACTGTTAGTAATATCATATAAACCACAGCAGTAATGTGATCAGCAACGTCTGTGGAAAGTCCCAACTCTTTACTTTCACTTTAACATCAACAGCCAATCAGAAACAGAGCTGCTTATGATTCATAAATTACCAGGCCCACCACTTTGTTTACACTGAGAGCCAGGCTCAGGATCGGGAGGTTCCAGGAGAGTCAGCTGAGACTGATCAGAGAGACAGCTGCGCCACCCGCTGGTCACACCTGAAACTACAACAGTATTAACATTAGTAGATAGATAGATAGATAGATAGATAGATAGATAGATAGATAGATAGATAGTTGGATACTTTATTTATGGCCTAGGGAAAATTCATGTAATCTCATAATATAGAGTTATCTAGCAAACTGAGCTGTTGTCAGATATTCACACACACTGATCTGGAGTCTGTTGGGTTTATCTCATGTTATTGTGGAGTTCTGTAAAGACAAAGTGATGTTTATAAAAATATAAGAAATAAATCTTTATATAAATTTAGCATTTACAGAAAAACAGCTTCAGTTTCCTCTGTGAATCGTTTCAATGTTAAATTAAATCAAATTAAATTAAATCAGCATTTACTGTGCCTACTCTGAAACGTTAAACTAAAAAACGCGATAAAAAATACAATTTAACCTTGTCCTTTTTCCCTTTCCGTCATCTGCCGCTGCAGCACATGCGCAGTGACAGCAGCTGTAACCTCGCCAGAGCCGCATGAGTAGAAACAGAAGGAGGAAAAAATAGAATAAGTAAGTGAATAAAGGTGAATAAAGAGAGGGTGACGGAGGAGTGATGAACCAGCTGGAGCGGTAAGACTCACAACAAACCGGTAAATTAACGGTAAACTACCGGAACACTGACAGCTAACGGCTAACAGTTAGCCTCAGATTACAATTCACCGGATAAAGTCAGACTCTGTTTAAATACTGCAGTATTTTAATGTTGTAAAGGTACTTTTACTGCGACCTGTTCAATGAGTGCAGCTGATCTATTAAAGTCAGACTTTAAATGATGTTAATTTCTGTTTGTTGTTTAAATCAGTGTCAGTCAAACTGGAGTTAAAGTTAGATTTATTAAGATCTGAATGTTCATTGACATGTTGTGGACAAGTTGTGAAAGCAGCATTTATTCACACTCACAGAAGTTTCTCTGTTTCATGACTTACTGCTTGATTGCTTTCATTTTTCCACAGTTGTAATAATACTCATTAGCATATTAAAGCTGGTCCAGTTGTAATAATACTCATTAGCATACTAAAGGTGAGTTATGTGTAGTGATACTCAGTAGCATGTTAAAGGTGAGTTAGGTGTAATAATACTCATTAGCATATTAAAGGTGAGTTAGGTGTAGTGATACTCATTAGCATATTAAAGGTGAGTTAGGTGTAATAATACTCATTAGCATATTAAAGGTGAGGTAGGTGTATTGACACTCAGTAGCATATTAGAGGTTGTCCAGGTGAACACCATGCATGAGTATGAATCTACTCAAGGCAGCAACAACATCTCTCATGATCCAATGCTCCTTCACAGAGTCTTTAGTTATTTTCATTCAGAGTCCCCTAGTGTCAGAAGTGATGTTCTATGGGTTTAACATTATTAATTCACCCTGTGGTCTAATAATTAAACTGTCTCTGATCAATACATGTATTGATCAATACATGTTTCGATCTAATTATCACAGATACAGAAGTTAATACAGCTCAAGTGTCGCTGGGTGTGATGCTCACAGAGACACTTCCTGTTTGTGTTTCAGTCCAAGAGACGAGGAGGACCAGGAGGAGTCAGAGTGTTGCTATGACAACGGTGACGGGACCAACAATAACAACAACAACAACCGACGCAAGGTTTCAATTTCAATCTTATTTAACGTCACCAGATCATAACAGACCTGTCTGTCTCTCTACCTGTCTGTATACCTGTTTGTCTGCCAGGTGTGTCCAGGTGCAGGTGAACATTAACCTGTCTATCTCTCTACCTGTCTGTCTGCCAGGTGTGTCCAGGTGCAGGTGAACACCCTCTGCAGTATAACTACACTTTCTGGTACAGTAGAAGAACTCCGAGTCGTCCTGCTAGCTCTCAGAGCTACGAACAAAACATCCGACAGATTGGCACCGTGGCATCGGTACACACACACACACACACACACACACACACACACACACACACACACACACACACACACACACACACAGGGAGCACTTGATTAGGAACGCCTGAGCACCACCTTATTCATCCATTCTCCCATCATGTCAACAGAGAGAGGATGTTCCCAGTGTTAGAGTGGTGTTCCTAATAAAGTGCTGTACACTCAGAAAAACCTGTCATCATGTTGAGGTGAAATACCACTGATCAATCAACAGGTCATCAATAGATCAATAAATCAGTGTCACAAACAGTTTATCACCCCCTGCTGGAGACGGACTTGTGTGTGTGTGTGTGTGTGTGTGTGTGTGTGTGTGTGTGTTTTCAGGTGGAGCAGTTCTGGAAGTTTTACAGTCACCTGGTGCGACCAGGTGATCTGAGTGGACACAGTGACTTCCATCTGTTCAAGGAGGGAATCAAACCCATGTGGGAGGTAACGACACGATACTGCAGTAATACTGTAATAATATTGCAGTAATAATACTGTAATAATACTGCAGTGTCTCTGTAGAAATACTGTAATAATGCTTTAATAGTGTAGTAATAATGCTGTAGTGTCACTGTAGTAATAGTACAATAGTGTCACTATAGTAATACTGTAATAATACTTTAATAATACAGCTGAAATACTGTAGTGTTACTGTAGTAATACTGTAATACTGCAGTAATAATGTGGTAATATTGCAGTGTAACTAGTAATACTGAAACGTCACTGTAGTAACACTGCAGTAATACTGTAGTAATAATACTATAGTGTTACTGTACTGTGTGTTTTGGGGATATGAATGAAAAAGTTCTTCAAAGACAAAGTAAAGAAATCACCGTCCTGTCTGTCAATAACCAACGACAGCACTACTGAGCAGTAATAACCCCCCCCCCCCCCCAGGATGAGTCCAACCGCAGTGGGGGGAAGTGGATCATTCGTCTGCGTAAAGGTCTGGCCAGTCGATTCTGGGAGAACATCATACTGGCCATGCTGGGAGAGCAGTTCATGGTGGGAGAGGAGATCTGTGGAGCTGTGGTCTCCATACGCTTCCAGGTACTACTACTACTACTACTGCAGTAATACTGTAGTACTACACTGATGCTCAGGTGCGATCCTTAAAGGTCTGATCTGGACTTCATAGACCTCAGACCTCCATCAGGTCTGTAAGTCCACCTCTCTCTACCTGTGTCTCTCTCTGCCTGACTGAGTTCCGCCATGTACTGTGGCCTGCCAGGTCTTAGTTGTTCAGAACAGGTGTGAACAGGTGTGAGATCAAAACTCGAAACTTCCAACTATCACAAAGTGACGTTACCTAGCAACCTGAACCAGTCAAACAGTCAGTAACACAGGTCCTTCCTTCAGGGAGACAGAGTCTCTCTTCCTGTCTGTCCTTTCCTGTCTGTCTCCACCTGTCTATCTCCACCTGTCTGTCTCCACCTGTCTGTCTCTTCCTGTCTGTCTCTTCCTGTCTGTCTCCACCTGTCTGTACCTGTCTGTCTCCACCTGTCTCTACTTGTCTGTCTCCACCTGTCTCTAATTGTCTGTCTCCACCTGTCTGTACCTGTCTGTCTCCACCTGTCTCTACCTGTCTGTCTCCACCTTTCTGTACCTGTCTGTCTCCACCTGTCTGTCTCCACCTGTTTCCAATTGTCTGTCTCTACCTGTCTGGCTCCACCTGTCTCTAATTGTCTGTCTCCACCTGTCTGTACCTGTCTGGCTCCACCTGTCTCTAATTGTCTGTCCCCACCTGTCTGTACCTGTCTGTCTCCACCTGTCTGTCTCTAATTGTATGTCTCCACCTGTCACTACCTGTCTGTACCTGTCTGTCACCACTTGTCTGTACCTGTCTGTCACCACCTGTCTGTACCTGTCTGTCTCCACCTGTCTATAATTGTCTGTCTCTACCTGTCTGGCTCCACCTGTCTCTCTGTCAGGAGGACATCTTGTCGATCTGGAACAGAACGTCCAACGATCAGATGACGACGTCCAGAATCAGAGACACTCTGAGACGAGTCCTGAACCTTCCAGCCAACACCATCATGGAGTACAAGACCCACAATGACAGCCTCAGGTAGTACTGATACTACGAGTACTGTAGTACTAGTGATAGTACTAGTACTGTAATACTATTTTGTAGTACTTCCCCTGCTCACTTAAGTAGTAAGTAGTATTTGAAAATTATAAAGTGAATCTGTTTTTTTAATATTTTGTATAGTGTGTTTATTAGTGTTAATATTCACTGATCTTAAGATTCTAGGACTAGACTCAGAACCAGGACTAGACTCAGAACCAGGACTAGATTCAGAACCAGGACCAGAACCAGGACTAGACTCAGAACCAGGACTAGGCTCAGAATCAGGACTAGATTCAGAACCAGGACTAGACTCAGAACCAGGATCAGAACCAGGACTAGATTCAGAACCAGGACCAGAATCAGGACTAGACTCTGAACCAGGACAAGAACCAGGACCAGATTCAGAACCAGGACCAGACTCAGAAACAGGATCAGACTCAGAACCAGGACTAGACTCAGAACCAGGATCAGAACCAGAACCAGGACTAGACTCAGGATCAGACTCAGAACCAGGATCAGACTCAGAACCAGGACTAGACTCAGAACCAGGACCAGCACCAGGACTAAACTCAGAACCAGGACTAGAACCAGGATCAGACTCAGAACCAGGATTAGACTCAGAACCAGAACCAGGATCAGACTTAGATCCAGGACTAGACTCAGAACCAGGAGCAGACTCAGAACCAGGACTAGACTCAGGATCAGACTCAGAACCAGGATCAGACTCAGAACCAGGACTAGACTCAGAACCAGAACCAGGAATAGACTCAGAACCAGGACCAGAACCAGGATCAGACTAAGAACCAGGATCAGACTCAGAACCAGGACTAAACTCAGAACCAGGAGCAGACTCAGAACCAGGACCAGGACTAGACTCAGAACCAGACCCAGAACCAGGAGCAGACTCAAAACCAGGACTAGACTCAGGACTAGACTCAGAACCAGGATCAGGCTCAGAACCAGGACTAGACTCAGAACCAGAACCAGGACCAGAACAAGGATCAGACTCAGAGCCAGGAGCAGACTCAGAACCAGAACTAGACTCAGAACCAGGAGCAGACTCAAAACCAGGACCAGGACTAGACTCAGAACCAGACCCAGAACCAGGAGCAGACTCAAAACCAGGACTAGACTCAGGACTAGACTCAGAACCAGGATCAGGCTCAGAACCAGGACTAGACTCAGAACCAGAACCAGGACCAGAACAAGGATCAGACTCAGAGCCAGGAGCAGACTCAGAACCAGAACTAGACTCAGAACCAGGATCAGACTCAGAACCAGGAGCAGATTCAGAACCAGGACTAGACTCAGAACCGGGACCACAACCAGGACTAGACTCAGAACCAGTATCAGTCTCAGAACCAGACTCAGAACCAGAACCACACTCAGAACCACACTCAGAACCAGGATTAGACTCAGAACCAGTAGCAGACTCAGAACCAGTAGCAGACTCAGAACCAGGACCAGGACAACTCAGAACCAGGAGCAGACGCAAAACCAGGTCTAGACTCAGAACCAGAACCAGGATCAGGATCAGGCTCAGAACCAGGATCAGATTCAGAACCAGACTCAGAACCAGGACCAGGACCAGAACCAGAACCACACTCAGAACCAGATTCAGAACTAGGACCAGGACTAGACCCAGAACCAGACTCAGAACCAGGACTAGACCCAGAACCAGACTCAGAACCAGGACCAGGACCAAACCCAGATCCAGAACCAGGATCAGAGTCAGAAACAGGACTAAACTCAGAATCAGGACTAAACTCAGAACCAGGACAAGAACCAGGATTAGACTCAGAACCAGGAGCAGACTCAGAACCAGGAATAGACTCAGGACCAGGACTAGACTCAGAACCAGACTCAGAACCAGGAGCAGACTCAGAACCAGAACCAGGATCAGGCTCAGAACCAGGACCAGACCCAGAACCAGACTCAGAACCAGGACCAGGACCAGACCCAGATCCAGAACCAGGATCAGAGTCAGAAACAGGACTAAACTCAGAATCAGGACTAAACTCAGAACCAGGACAAGAACCAGGATTAGACTCAGAACCAGGAGCAGACTCAGAACCAGGAATAGACTCAGGACCAGGACTAGACTCAGAACCAGACTCAGAACCTGGATCAGGCTCAGAACCAGGACCAGACTCAGAACCAGGATCAGATTCAGATCCAGGACCAGGATCAGATCCAGGACCAGGATCAGACTCAGAACCAGGATCAGGCTCACAACCAGGATCAGACTCAGAACCAGGATCAGATTCAGAATCAAAGCCATGATCAGACTCAGAACCAGACTCAGACCCAGAAGCAGAACCAGAACCAGACTCAGGACCAGGACCAGACCCAGAACCAGACTCAGAACCAGGACTAGACCCAGATTCAAGGCCAGGATCAGACTCAGAACCAGACTCAGGACCAGAACCAGACTCAGGACCAAACCCAGAACCAGAACCAGAACCAGACTCAGAACCAGGATTAGACCCAGAACCAGACTCAGAACCAGGACCAGACTTAGAACCAGGACCCTGATGTGCAGTCTCTGTGTGTTTCAGGGACAACTCAAGCTTCAGAAACACAAAGATTTCCCTCTGAAGACGCTGTGAGCCTCTGTCCTCTGTTCAATCAGGGCGCAGATCACCCTCGTCTCATTCTACTCTGTGTGTGTGTGTGTGTGTGTGTGTGTGTGTGTGTGTGTGTGTGTTTTGACTATGGACCAATAAACTGACTGAACCGAAGTTAGTTCATTCTTTTATTACCAGCAGTGACAGTGTGTGTGTGTGTGTGTGTGTGTGTGTGTGTGTGTGTGTGTAGATTTGTAGATGCAAATACCATTGAGGTGGTTAGGAGTATAACCAGCAGAAATCAGTATAACTTTTAGAAACCAGTAAAACCAATAGAAACCAGTTAAACTAGTAAAACCAGCAGAAACCAGTGTCACTATTAGAAACCAGTATAACCAGTAGAAACCAGTTAAACCAGTAGAAACCAGCAGAAACCAGTATAAGCAGTAGAAACCAGTATGACCAGTAGAAACCAGTATAACTATTAGAAACCAGTATAACCAGTAGAAACCAGTGTAACTATTAGAAACCAGTATAACTATTAGAAACCAGTATGACCAGTAGAAACCAGTAGTTTTTGGAGTAAATAGAACTAACTAATTTCTCTTCTAAAACCTGAAATATAAAAATAATGAAAAAGAGTGAAGTTCATGTAAATTTAATCTTTGACATCAGCTGTTTAAATTAAAATATGAACTTAAGAAGCCCGTACAGCAGAACGCTGCCCCCTACAGGCTGAAACATGGACACAACATGGTGACACACTCACTCAACAGGCGTCAGGTCGTGTGATCACTTTACCAAGAACAACAGAACACGTCACATATGTTCTGTGTGTGTGGTGGCAGGCCAAAGTGTTGTTGAGCCAGGCACTGCTCCTCACTGTCTGCAGCACTTCGACCCAGCTGGCTCCACTCTGCTCTGACACACTACACTGACCCATTCCAGGCCGGTCCAGGTTAATCCAGGTCTAATCCTTCCTCTATTCCTGGCTGTGGACCAGCTGGGACCTGTGATCCCTGAGGATGGACCTAATCCAGATCAGGATTACCAGACCTGCACCCGCAACCACACACTGTAGAACCACAGTCTGTAGAACTAAAGACTGTAGAACCACACACTGTATAACCACAGGCCGTAGAACTAAAGACTGTAGAACTATATATGGTACAACCACACACTGTAGAACCACAGACTGTAGAACTAAAGACTTTTGAACTACACACTGTAGAACCATATACGGTACAACCACACACTGTAGAACCACAGACTGTAGAACTATATACTGTACAACCACACACTGTTGGCCATACACTGTTGAACCACAGACTAGAACCAAAGACTGTAGAACTACACACTGTTGAACCATACACTTGAACCACAGACTGTAGAACCATATACTGTACAACCACACACTATTGAAGCATACACTGCTGAACCACAGACTGTAGAACCAAAGACTGTAGAACCATATACTGTACAATCACACATTGTAGAACCACATACTATACAACCACACACTATTGAAGCATACACTGTTGAACCACAGATTGTAGAACCAAAGACTGTAGAACCATATACTGTACAACCACACATCGTAGAACCACATACTATACAACCACACACTGTAGAACCACAGACTGTAGAACCACAGAGTATGGAACCACACACTGTAGAACCATATAGTGTACAACCACAGACTGTAGAACCATATACTGTAGAACCGAAGACTATAGAACCACAGACTGTAGAACCACAGACTGTAAAACCATATACAGTAGAACCACAGACTGTAGAACCACACACTGTAGTACAGTACAACCATATACTGTAGAACCACACACTGTAGAATGAAGATTAGAAGAATAGATTGAAGAAAATTCACTCAAGTCCTTAGTTCCAGGTTTGCTGTGGTGATGTGAGTTTATTGGTATCCCAGAGAAGGGTGAGCCAACTGACACAGTGGGTCTGAGGCAGTAGACTGATCTAGAGTGTAGGGCAGGGGACAGTTATACAGTTGAAGACAAAGGGATAGACAACTTTATTTCGGTATACCTGGGGTTATAGACATTTGGTCAGACATCATAACAAGTTGGAAAAGAGGTTAGAAACAAAAGGTAATGTTCTCAAGAGGTCTTGCAGTGTACCACCTAGGTTCCAGTTATCAGGGGGTAGGAGGGGCTCTCCATATCTACAGGTAAGATGTTGGTGATGTAAGAGGGAAGAAAGGGTGTTATACGGGGACAGACGGTGGTTGATAAGGTAAGTAGTATCTCCTTGATCAAAGGATCAAGGGGCCAACTCAGTGGTGTTATAGAGTTGTTCCTAGGTGTCAGCAAGTCTACACTGAAGAATGTGTATATTCTTCCTCAAGAACCAGACTGTAGAACCATATACGGTAGAACCATACACTAGAACCACAGACTATAGAATCAAACACTGTAGAACTACACACTGTACAACTATATACTGTAGAACCATACACTGTAAAACCACACACTGTAGAACCACACACTGAACAACTACACACTGTAAAACCATATACTGTACAACCACAAAGTGTTGAACCAAAGACTGTGGAACCACAGACTGTAGAACCATATGCCGTATAACCACACATGGTACAACCATATACTGTACAACCATATACTGTAATCTCTCTCGCAAATTAAATCGAAGGCAACTGGACTTGTATTTGTCCGTGGAAGACATTTCGCCTCTTATCCAAGGGGCTTCATCAGTTCTTATGTATTGGTCTCTCTAGTCCGCACTAGTCTGAGAGAGAGATTACAATGACCTGGACGAATGAGAACATTCACAGACAGAAAAAAAACCATATACTGTAGAACCACAGACTGTAAAACAATATACTGTAGAACCACACACTATAGAACTACACACTGTACAACCATATACTGTATAACCACACACTGTACAACCATATACTGTAGAACCACACACTGTACAACCATATACTGTAGAACCAGACTGTAGAACCATATACTGTAGAACCACAGATGGTAAAACCATATACTGTAGAACCACACACTGTAGAACTACACATTGTAGAACCACACACCATATAACCACACACGGTACAACCATATACTGTAGAACCACAGACTGTAAAACCACATACTGTAGAACCACACACTGTACAACCATATACTGTAGAACCACAGACTAAAACGACAGACTGTATAACTATATACTGTAGAACCACACACTGTAAGACCACACACTGTAGCACTGTAGAACCACAGACTGTACAACCATATACTAGAACCACAGACTATAGAACCACAAACTGTATAACCACAGACTATAGAACTACACACAGCAGAACCACACTGTAGCCAGGTTCTAGTGGTCATTAGGGGAACTGCAGGTTGTGGTTCTTCAGTGGTGACTCATGTTTCAGTCCGGATGTTGAGGTTTTGTCGACTCTCAACCTTCAAACTATAAATGGCCAAAGTTAAGACTGAACCATCTCTGAGCAACAACTGGACCAGAGCAGGTTGAAACCAGGTTATTCTGACTGATGCAATAGAGACCTCAGGTAAACCCACTTACTGATCCATGTCACTGTGTGTGTTGCAGATTAATACTTCTGTTAATTTTACCTGAAGTAATTTTAACATGTAAACAAAGAAACAGAAATCTGAGTAAATTATTTTGTGCATTTTTTAAATAGTTTGTTTTTTGTTTTCTGAATCTGACTGAATAAAACTCCAGACGTGTTAATGATTATTTATTGATTATTGGTTCGTGATGTTCAGTCAGTTCAGAGTCTCAGTTTCATCTCTCTCTTTTCCCTCCGTTGAATGTTTTGCAGCTCAGACATGTTTGTGCTGTGTCTGTTATTATATGTGACTGTGTTACATCATTGTTTGCTCTTTTTGGTCTGGGTACAGCACCTGTGACATCAGAGGCTGGCCGATGATGTCATCAGTCAGGAAACAATGTTTGACAAACAAATGATCTCAGAGATTCAACAGGTGACATGGTCAGACACACACACACACACACACACACACACACACACACACACACATACACACACAGAAAGTCATGCTCTCATTACAGACTCTAAACTGAAGCCAAAGATCCTCAAACAGGATTAAACTAAAGCCCCCCCCCCACCCCCCCTCCTCTCTCTCTCTCTCATTCTCTCTCTCGTTCGACCTGGCATCAGCACTTTCTCACTGTTCTTGTCATTTTCTGTTTTTCTTGGACAGATGAAGCTCTGACAAAGGTAAATGTGTGTGTGTGTGTGTGTGTGAGTGTGTGTGTGAGCTTGTTTTTAGATTCTAACCGCAATACACACTAACCTGTATGGACTCCGCATCACTGTGAGGTCTAGACTGCCTTTTGAAGGATAAGACTTAGTTTTAGGGATCAGGTTTAGATTTAGGATCAGGTTTTAAGTTTGGGATCAGGTTAGTCATTTAGTTAAGATGGTTAATATTATTAAGTGCTGGAGAATGCATCATATCAATGAATGAACCCTACAAGGAAACAAATGTGTGTTTGATATCGTCAGTTTGTTTCTTGTAGAGTCAAAGGCTGAGTAAAGTAGAAACCAGTAGAAACCAGAGAGACTAGTGTGGTGGAGTTCAGCTGTATTCAGGTGTGTCCAGGTGTGTCCAGGTGTGTTCAGGTGTGTTCAGGTCACTGAAACTTACTTATGTTTTCTCTGAGAGAAATATTTATATTTTACAGCTGCAGATAAAAATATTTAAGCAGCAGCTGATTTGTCTTCAATACTCCTGACTGACACCTGACACACCTGATGATGACATCACATCTGGACACACCTGACCTCAGCTCAAAAATCTCACTCACGGTGAGTGTGATAAAATACAGCTGATATCCGATCTGTGATATCTGTTAAATTCAAATGAAGTTTATTGATCATATTGATTGTGTTCATTATATTGATTACATTGATTATGTTGTCAGCTTCATGAGATCAGATTTCATCCTCCAACAGGAACTGTGTCAAATCAAACGCTATAGACCCACAAAGGTCTTAAAATCCAGGATCAGACTTCTGTTGTCGGGACAACGGCAGGTGCTGACTGATGACTGCTGGTCTCACCTGACAGGTGAGTCCTCACATCTCTGGAAACATCAGAGCATGTGAATAGTCACTGTCTCCTGA